ATGTATTTGAATATGACATAGATGTTAGATGATGTTTAATATTTTGTCAAGACTCGAAAATGGAATGTGATTTCGGCTTTAACTTCTGTCTGTCTGTCTGTCTGTTTGTCTCTCTCTCTTTCTCTGTTTGTTCGTTTGTCTGTCTGTCTTTATCTCGCTCTCTATCTCCCTGTCTCTCTCTATTCTCTCTCTCTCTCTCTCTCTCTCTCTCTCTTCTTCTCTCTCTCCTCTCATCTCTCTTCTCTCTCTCTCTCTCTCTCTCCTCTCTTCTCCTCTCTTCTCTCCTCTCTCTCTCTCTCTCTCTCTCTCTCTCTCTCTCTCTCTCTCTCTCTCTTCTCTCTCTCTCTCTCTCTCTCTCTCTCTCCATCTCTCTCTCTCTCTCTCTCTCTCTCTCTCTCTCTCTCTCCTTCTCTCCTCCCAGCTCTTCTTCCCCTCTCACTCCTCACTCTTTATCCCCTCTCTCTACTTCTCTTTCGTTTCTCTTCTTTTCAACACACAAACGAAAAAAACAACAGAAAACCCAGCATTCACAATTTCATAGCGTCTGAACCTATAACCTGATGGAAGATCCTGCCTATAAAATATATCATAAAGCATATTATTTACGCCAAAACAATCCCATATATAAAACACTGAAATTGATTATAAATAATTTCATTCACATAGATTAAAAACAAACAAATCACATAGGTTAAAAAAGCATATTGCTCACGCGAAAGTGATCATGTGTATAAAACAGTGTTGTTTATAGAACATTTGGTAAAACATTTTTTTACAGTGGCGCGAGTCACAACGAATTCTATATATTGTAATAATTGTATTTTATTTTGTGTCCACGGTTTCTTGTCATTTGATACCTTTATCAAACAATGATTTTGTGGCATTTGATGTTTATTAACCCATACTACAATTATTTATTTAGGCACGTGCTCGCTAATATTACCTGTTTTAATTTTATGGCTTTGTTCTCCGTAAACATATTGTTACCTGATTTTTGGGTCATAAACTTGCTTAAAAAGATTAAACTTTTATAAACTTATAAAAAATTAACCAACTTCCTTGGCAATGTTCATTTGAAACAGACACACACACACACACACACGTATACACATCACTACTTGCAACACACACACCACACAACACACACCCAAGCAAACAGACACATACACACACAACACACACACACACACACACACACACACACAACACACACAACAACACACACAACACACACACAACAACACCGACACACACAAGACACAAGCATGACACATGCACACGACACACACACACACACAGACACACACACAAACGACACACACACACAAACACACACGCACACACAGACACACACAGCACACACACACACACAGCACGCACACACACACACACACACACACAACACACAAGCAAACAGACACACACACACACACAACAACACACACACAAGCAAACAGACACACAAACACACACACAACACAACACACACACAACACACACAGAAACACACACACAAGCACACACACACACACACACACACACACACACACACACACACACACACACACACACACACACACACACACACACACACACACAACACACACACACACACACACACACACACACACACACACACACACACCACAACTTGCACACACACACACACACACGTGCCTTAATAACGTATTTAATTAATTATTCACCTGTTATGTACAGTAACTAAATCCGTATCATACATAATTCTTTCAGTACTGTTGACTGTTGCTTATCAAATTAACATCAGACATAATTATGAATTGAAAAGCAGATTAGAAACTAGTTTGTAGAATAGTAGTTTGAAGTCTAAAGTGTGTGACTGTGTTCTTTAAACAGCTGATGTTGAAGTAAATATTCTTTTTTATTTCCGTGTCTAATTTTATCATATATTCTCGTTGGGTGTATGTGAGTGTGTAATGTATTTGTTGTGTGTTCTGTTTGTGCTGTGTGTGTGTGTGTGTGTGTGTGTGTGTGTGTGTGTGTGTGTGTGTGTGTGTGTGTGTGTGTGTGTGTGTGTGTGTGTGTGTGTGTGTGTGTGTGTGTGTGTGAGTGTGTGACGTTGTAGGTAGTAGTAGTACAATATAAGCATCAACATCTTACCTAAAACGGCACATAAAACAAACACACGGGTATTCCCCACACAAATACACCACACACACCGCACACCTTCTCCTACACCTATAACCCCTCTCCCCCACCCACACCCCACCCAATCTCCCTCCCCTCCTTATCCACCAATCCCCCCCCATACCATCGTCGTCCTCTCCCTTCCTCCCCCTCCCCCTCTCTACTCCAACTCCCCCCCCCCCCTTCCACCTCCTCCCTGGCCCCCCCCTCCCTTCCTCCCCCCACCCTCCCCTCCAACTCCCTCTTCTCCCACTCCCAACCCCCCCAACATCCCCCCCTTCCCCCCATCCCCACCCCCACCTCCCCCCTCCACCCCCACCCTCCCTTCTTCACCTCCCTCTTTTCTCACCAAAAAAAAAAAAACAACTTCCCCACCCCTTCCCTTCTCCCCCCTCCTCCCCCTTCCCCAACTCTCCCTCGCCCTCACCCTCCCCTCACCCCATCCTACACACACAAACTCACGCGCACTCACTCACTCAACGCACTTCACTCACGGGCTATCACGTCCTCTGAGAATCGTGACGTGTGTTTCTGAAACATCCGGATTTAGAAGACCCTCACTTTAACGTTTTTTTTTTTTTTTTTTTTTTTTTTTTTTTTTGTATTCTCTCTGTTTCTTTTTTTTTTTTTTTCTCTCCCTCCTCTCTTTTCCTCTTCTCTCTGTCTTCTTGTCTTTCTCTTTCCTTCTTCTCTCTCTTCTCTCTCTTCTCTTCTCTCTTCTTCTCTCTCTTTTTATCTTTCTTTCTTTTTTTCTCTCTCTCTCCCTTTGTCTTTCTCTCTCTCTCTCTCTCTCGTCTCTCTCGTCTCTCTGGTCTCTTGTCTGTCTCTCTCTGTCCTTCTCTCTCTCTCACTCTCTCTCTCTCTCTTGTTCTCTCTTTCTCTCTCTTCTGTCCTCTCTCTCTCTCTCTCTCTTCGTCCTCACGGCCTCTCCTCTCTCTCTCTCTCCCTCGCCTCTCTCCTCCTCCCTCCTCCCCTCCCTCCCTCTCCTCTCCCTCATCCTCTCCTCTTCTCCTCTCCCTCCTCCCTCCCACCCTCCCTCCCCCTCTCTCCTTCCCTCTCTCTCTCTTTGTTCTCTCTATTTCAATTTCTTTTTCCCTCATATTTTTTCTTGGCCGCAAAAGGCAAGAGTAATGCAAATCAAGGTACTTTGTCGATCACTTTAAGGAAATGGTTTATACAAAAATCGTGCTTTTGATGGGTAACGAAATCCCTTGTGGATATTCGGAAAAAAAGGGAATTGGAAACAAAAAAGAAGAAGAAGAAGAAGAAGAGAAAAGGAAAGAGAGAGAGAGAATGAAGAGAGAGGGAAGAGGAGAGGAGAGAGAAGAAGAGAGAGAGAGAGAGAGAGAGAGAGAGAGAGGAGAGAGAGAGAGAGAGAGAGAGAGAGGAGAGAGAGAGAGAGAGAGAGAGAGAGAGAGAGAGAGAGAGAGAGAGAGAGAGAGAGAAAGAAAAAAAAAAAATCTGCCTTTTTTTTACTTTAATCTGTATCAAAATATTATCTACCTCTTTCCATCTACAATAGTTTTATTTATCATATATATAATCCATATCTATTTACAATATTAGGTACAAAACAACACATATACAAGTAAGTTAGACAGAGAGAGAGAAGTGAAGAGAGAGAGAGAGAGAGAGGAGACGAGAGAGAGAGAGAGAGGAGAGAGAGAGAGAGAGAGGAGAGAGAGAGAGAAGAGAGGAGAAGATAGAGAAGAGACAGAAAAGAGATGAGAGAGAGAGAGAGAGAGAGAGAGAGAGAGAAGAGAGAGAGAGAAGAGAGAGAGAGAAGAGAGAAAAGTAGAGAGAAGAGAGAGAGAGAGGGTAGAGAGAGAGAGAGAGAAAGAGAGAGAGGAGAGAGAGAGAGTACGAGAGAGAGAGTAGAGAGAGAGAGAGAGAGAGAGGAGAGAGAGAGAAGGAGAGAGAGAGAGAGAGAGAGAGGGAGAGCAGAGAGAAGAAGAGAGGAGAACAGACAGAGAGAAAAGGAGAGGGGAAGAAGAGGGATATAGATGAATAGTAATTCACAAAAAAAATGACCAAAAACAGACCACACAATTCCCAGAAGACCGCCTCACGTTTTTTCACCCCTCCCCCCCACCTCCCCCCACCACGTCCTCCTCTTACCCCCCACGCCCACCACGCCCCCCTCCTAACCTATAAACTAGTGCATTTACACTGCGAAGATTTCTTCTTTACCTTCCTTCCTCACGCATCGCAGGACTATCTGGCAGGATCTTGCAGGATTTTTGCAAGCTCCGTATCCTTGAAAACTCGGGGTAAAGAAAAAAAAAAAAAAGAAAAAAAACAAAAAAAACAGGTTCATTCCTTTGTAAAATTCAGCCTCTATTGGCTCCATAAAAGCTCATGTTATGCGGATCTTACACAAGTCTTTGGGAAAATAGATCAATATAAAAGAATTGAAAAAAAAAAACATTAAAAAAATAAAACAGTTACACCTAAGTCGGAAAGAAAAAAAGAAAAATGGAGGAATATCATTGAAAAGAAAAAATGGAAAATTTAAAAGGTCACCACAAAAAAACGGGAAATATCGCTATGCAGATACTATGATAAAGGCGCACTGATGATAATGGATTGTTCGCCCCAGGACGCACTCAAGGGATGCTTCAAAGGATGCCTTTCAAAAGGCAGAGGATGCAAAAAAAAAGAAAGAAAAGAAAAAACAAGGGGAGGATTAAAAGTAACAAAAAGAGAAAGATGAATAGATTATGGCCGCTGAAAAAATAGGATATCCAAAGAAAATAAAACAAAAAGTTGGTTAAATTCGCAATTACATTACATTTTTAAAATCCTGCTTCTAATTGGTCTTTCCTATTCTCTCTCTAGTCATCAATGGTCTCTCTTCGTGGTTCTTTGTGTCTCTCTGGTCTGTCAATGGTTCCTCTCTGGTCTTTCCTGGTCTTAACGAGTCCTAAGTGGTCTGCCTTGGTCTTAACTGGTCCTGGACCTGGTTTAACTGGCTCTCCTTGGCCCCTCACTGGTCCTAAATTGTCTTTCTTGGTTCCTCGCAGTTTCCCTCTTTCTCTCTGGTCTCTCTCGTCCTCTCTCTGGTCTGTGGTGCCCTGGTCCCCTCCTTGGTCTGGATGGTCCTCCGTGGTCCTTCTTTCGTCCTCCTGGTCACTCCTTCGTCTTCTCTGGTCCCTTGGTCCTTTCTCTGGTCTTCCCTGGCTCCCTGCCTGTTCGTCCTCGCTGGTCACTCCTTTCGTCTTCTCTCTTGGTCCCTTCTAGTTCCATTGCGTCCTTTCTCCTGTCCCATCCATCGTCTTCGCCTGGTCCCTAGCTTAGGGTCCTTTCATGTCGCCTTGTTCCTTCTTTTTTGGCTCTGGTCCTTTCCCCTGGCTCCCCTCCTTCGTCCTCCACTGGTCACACCGCTTCGTCTCTCTGGTCCCCTGGTCCCCTTCTAGTCCCCTTGGTCTTTCTGGTCTCAGTCCTTCGTCTTCCCCTGGCCACTCCTTCGTCTTTCTCTGGTCCTTGTTCTTCCTTCTCTTCTGGCTTCCCTGTCCCTCCTTCGTCCTCGGCTGGTCACCTCCTTTGTCCTCACTGGTCACCACCTTCGTCATCTCTGGCTCCTTCTAGTCCCCTTGGTCCTTCTGGTCCCATCCTGCTTCATCTGCCTGGTCCTCCTCGGTCTCTCCTGATTTCTGGTCTCTCCTGTCCTCCTGGTCCCTGAATCCTCTCCCTCCTTTCTCCCTCCCCTGATCCCTCCCTGACTCACCCTTATTTCTCCTGGACCTCCCTGACTTCCCAGTTCTCCCCAATCCCTCCTTACCCCCTTAATGCCTTCTCCCTAATCTCTCCCTTATCACTTCCGGGTTCTTTTCTATTCCTCCCCCCCCCTCCCCGCCCTTCCTAGTTGTCCTAGATCCTCCCTGACAATCTCTCCTATCCTTCATCCTGATACTCCATCCTCCTGATACTCCCTCACTCTCCTCTTCTCCATTTCCCTCCCCTCCTCCAGTCCTCCCCTCTTCTCCTCCCCCTCTCAATCCTTTTCCTCCCCTCCCCTCTCTCTCCCCTCCCTCATCCTCCACCCTACCTCGATTTCTCCTCCTCCCTGCCCTGCCTTCCTCCTGCTCAATTCTCCCTCACCCTCTCTCTCCTTTCTCCATCCCTCTCCTCCATCTCAATTCTCCTCACCCTCCTCCATCCTTCCGCCCCCTCCTCCTTCCTCCTCCTCCACTCCTCCCGTCAATTCTCCCTCCCTCCTCCGCTGACCCTCTCCCCTTTTCCCCCTCCTCCCTCTAATTCCTCAAGGGATCTGGAGGGATTCCCTCCCTCCTTCTTTTCCCCCTCCTCTCTCCCTCCACCTCCTCCCTCCCTTCCCTCCTCTCTCTTTCTTCCCCTTCCCTCCTTCATTTCTCTTTCCCTTCCTTCTCCATTCCTCCTCCTTCTTCTTCCTCTCCCCTCCTCCCTCCCCCCCCTCTTCCCCCTCCTCTTCCTCCCTCCACCTTCTTCTTCTCCCTCTCTTCTCTTCCTTCTTTCTCCTCCCTCTCTCCCATATCCTCCCTCCCGTCCTCTCCTTCCTCCTCCCTCCTTCTCCCTCCCTTCCTCCTCCTTTTCTCCCTTCCTTCCCCCTCAACCCCGCGCCTGTTCCTAAGCATCTCTCTGGACATCCTCGTGGGGGGATGTTAAAGGAATTGCTGAGTCATTCTGGCGAGTCGAAGTCGACGTTTTTGCATTTACGACTTTTTTTATCGTTTTTAAAATTTCTTAGTTTTATTATTTTTTTTTTCTCTCTTTATTGTTTATTTTTTGGAGGGAGTTTGTCGTAAGTGATGGATCGTTAGGGGAGGGGGGATTCTTTGAGGTGTTGAAAGAATTGCTGAGTCATTCTGGCGAGTCGAGACGGAAAAAGAAAGAAGGAGAAGGAAAGGCAAAGATAATAACAGGTAGAAGGAAGAATAAAATGGTAAAGGGAAAGAAGAAAAGAAAGACGAAAAAGAAAGAAGGGAAGGAGGAGAAGAAAGGAGGAAGGGAGAAGAGAAGGGACAGAAAGGGAGAGGGGGAGACAGAATAAAAGAGGAGAGAGGCGGAAAAACAGAGGCGAAGGAGAGAATGAGAAGGAAAAAGAGAGAGAAAGGTAATTGAGAGAAAGCGATAGATAGCAAAGGACCAAAGATGGATTATGAAAGAAAAGACGAAAAAAAGAAATGATGATAAAGAATAATGAAAAGGATAAAAGGATAAGAAAGAACTAAATGATAAATAAGGGAGATAAATAATAAATAATAACTTATACAAAAAATATAAACGAGGCTAAAATGAAAATAAAAGGTGGCATAAGTAATAAGAAACATAAAAAAAAAAAAAATCGCAATCGAAAGATAATAAAGATAGTAGGCGATAAATGAATGAAATAATAAACAATAAAAAATAAACAGATAAACAAATAAATGAATAAAAGGATAAACAGATAAATAAATAAATGAATAAATGAATAAAATACGTAAATTTGCACATACGTACATACAGACTGCAGTCTCCGCTTTTCGTGAGAAATTCGTAAACAGTCGAGATAACGAAGGATGAGAAACTCCTGATAAAAATCGGCATAAGAAAAGCGAAGAAAAATAAGAAAACGAAAGAAAAAAAAAAACGAAAAAAAGGCGGGAAAAAAATGTCGGGATTTTGGCGCAGTTTGTGAATTCGTTTTTTTTTTTTTCTTTTTTTTTTTCCTTTAGTAATTTTTCTTGTTTTTTTCGTTTCCTATTCGCATTCATAGTTTTTTTTTTTTTATTTCATTTAATTAGACAAAGTCCAAAATAGGACAGGACTCCCCCCCCGCCCCCCCATGGAAAAAACGTGTACGTATTTTTGCCGTGTAGTTACTGTATGGTCCTGTTTGTGAGCATCGTATGTGTGTGGTGAGAGTGAATGCATACGTGACACACCACGTACATACACACACACACACACACACCACATACACCAATCACACACACACACACACACAATCACATACACACACACGCACACACACACACACACACACACACACACACACAACATATATATATTTCACACACACACAACAACGCACACACCACACACACACACACACACACATGCATACACACACACACACACACACACACACATTACACACACACACACACACACAACATACACACACACACACACACACACACACACACACACACACACACACACACACACACACACACACACATATGTATATATATATATATATATATAATATATATTATATATAATTATATATATATATATATATAAAGTCATAGATAGATAGATAAGATAGGTAAAGATAGATAGATAGGATAGATAGATAGATAGGATAGATAGATAGATAGATAGATAGATAGATAGATAGATAGATAGATAGATAGATAGATAGATAGATAAGATAGATAGTAAATATAGATAGATAATAGACACAATTAGAGGAAGACAAGACCAGAGACAAACAAACAGAAACAGAAAACAAAAATAAAAAAAAGTGGAAAACAATACACTCGTAAAAAGGGTTTATCCCAACAAAGAGAGGGGGGGGGGGGGAGGGGAAAGGGGGAGGGGTAGGAGGAGGAGGAGGAAGCCAATCCCAGGTTAAGCCAGGTTTACCCAGGACTAGCGTATAAATAAGCAGGAGTCGCTGCAGGAGACCACTCGCCTCCTTCAGTAGATATCCTGCGATTCTTCGGATCTTCAAGTGACGTTTGAGTTCGAAAGGTAAGGAGAGAGAGAGAGGGAGAGAAAAGAGAGAGAGAGAGAGAGGGAAGGAGGGAGGGAGGGAGGGGTGGGGAGAGAGAGGAGAGAGAGAGAGAGAGAGAGAGAGAGAGAGAGAGAGAGGAGAGAGAGAGAGAGAGAGAGAGAGAGAGAGAGAGAGAGAGAGAGAGAGAGAGCAGAGAGAGAGAGAGAGAGAGAGAGAGAGAGAGAGAGAGAGAGAGAGAGAGAGAGAGAGAGAGAGAGAGAAAGAAATGGAATTCGGTAATAATTTTAACTATAATGATATTCATGTTGGATGTACTGATAATTCTAGTTATAAAGATCCATACGTAAAATCTACTGGTAATTCAAGATAAAAATAACCGAAAAGAAATTTATTAGAGACTTTAACTAAAAAAATAACGATATTTGAATAATGGAATCAAAGCATGTATCTTTTCTCTCATCAGAATGAATTTTATCTCATAAACATTAATGACGACAGAGGAAATGTGATACAAAGCTTAATTTTTTCTTTGAAAAGTAAAAGGTCTTAGGATTTGTTGATAAATGATGATGTTTCTGGAACTAGGTGGCGCAAGTGAGATCCGGGGGGACACGAGCCCAAAGCAAAAGAATAGGAAATTCTCAGATTACGTTTTCTTTTTCTCTTTATCAAACACTGAGATACTGAAACAAAATTCTTGCCTCGGTAAATAATAACAATAATAATAATGATGATAATGATGATAATAAATAGTAATTATAAAACGCGTATTTTCAAAGCGTATTTTTACTGTTAATTAAGGGAATTCTTTTAGGCATCGAGGCTGTCTACTAAAGGGAGCGCGGGGATAAAATGGATGTATTATTTTTCTCTTTCATATAAACATTTTCCGATTGCTGTTGATCCTAACCAGAAACGTAAATTTTTATGTAATTGATAAGACATTAACAGTGCTAAATGAAAAAAAAACGCATAAAAAACATTTTCCAGATTTTGTTTGTTCAAAAATTCAATTATGATTACTTAGTCGAAAAGAAAAATACCAGAAAAAAATAATTTAAATTGTTCGTTCCAAATCAGAAATGAATATGAAGATTCTTCTGAATAAATCAAATTACGATTTAACGAATATAAAGCAAAAAACAAACAAACAAACAAACAAACAAACAAACAAACAAACTCGAACCACCACCAAAACAAACAAACAAACAAAAAAATTGTTCCTAGTGACAAGAGTCTCACTCAATGATATAAAAAAATTGTGTTAATACGATCATAAGTACTTTTTACGATCAACAAGCGATAAGATAACGCTATGGCAGTAATAAAAATAACAGCAAGATGTGAGATAGTGTGATAACAGTAGAACTAAGATGACACAATAGTAACATAAAGGGAAGTGATGATTTGATGATAATATGACGAAAATATTATCGTGATAACAGTAAATTGAGGAACGTCAATAAGATAATAAACTTAATCAAAATTATGAGCTAAATAAAAATATAGATACAACTTAATAAAGCAACTTCATTATAATTTTTCAACTATATATAATGATTAAACAACTTATATCAACTTACTTAATTATCAACTAAATAGAAATAATAAAACTTCATCTATAATAAATAAATAATAAAACAACTTAATCATAATCATCAACTAAATAAAAATAATAAAACCATAATAATTATCAACTAAATATAAATAATAAAACAACTTAATCATCAACTAAATAAAAATAAAACTTCATTATGATTATTAACTAAATATAAATAATAAAACAAAATCATAATTATCAACTAAACAAAAACATAAACACAAACTAAGACACTAACTAAACATAAATAATAAAACCTTCCTTCAATTTCTCCATTTTCTTTTATTCATTCCATATTTTCCTCAATGT